CCATTAAAATAACCATTATTATAATATAAGCCGAGAAATTTTAAAGATCTGATTGGTTGATATTATCACTACTTCCGCGTAATAGTGGTATAACAAGGTTACCATGACACAACTGAACGCGATTACGTTTTTACTTTTGTTTTCAAAAAAAGGCGGCAAGATTCCCGGATATTTCTGGACTGGAAATACAAAAGCTCGCCGAAAAAGCAGTAAACAGAAATACAGTCAAAACTACTAAGAAGTGGATGAATGTTTGGAAGTCGTGGAAAGAAAGCAAGGGTCTTAAGAGCAGCTTCGCCTCAATATCATCTAGACTTGGAAATAGCGAAAAAAAATCTAATTTCTTCAAGCTTGCCCAGAATGAAACCCTATGGTCACTAGTTACAAAAATACTGTTTTAAGCTCGATGAATCAAAAATTATTTTTTAACGCAATTGTCTCTATTCGCGATCGATCTCCAAATCGGCCACAATCGATCGAAAATGAGAGGCATATTCAGAGGCTCGTAAACTGAAAAGTAAAAATCTTCATTACAAACTGATTGTACGTCGTATTCGTACTTTCTTTCTTGTATATTTAGAGCTAAGTAGATAGCGATTTGATTAGAACTAAAATATTTGATGAACTTTCTAAATTAACGACCCAAGTCAGCTTAACAGGAGGTTTACATTTAGCCTATTTTCAAATGTTGAAAAGGCGTTCTGGTACACGGATTTTCCCAAAACGACTAGTTTGGTCTGAAAGAGCATTGTTTCTTCTTCAAATTAGTGAAATAAAATTTTTGGGTGAATAAAATTGCGAGCGCTGAGGTTGCGAACTAAATGCAGCACTTCTTCTTGAAAACATGACCTTTGACCTAAGCGAAACCAAACCGATTACTGCAAGAAAAGCAAATGCTTCGTTATTTTGAAACATTTTCTAGTGATATCTCTCCGAAACCATTATTGCAAGAAACTATTTCCAAATATGAAATCTTGCAGGGTCAAAGAAGGAGCTGATTATAAAGGGCTCATTTTGCCACAATACCTTCGGTTGTTTGCTGAGAATTGAAGACAATGACGACGGTCCGTTAACGAATTCCAGTGAAATTTGCGAACCTGAAGAATGTTACCCGATACTTATACCTGAATATCTATATTTATAGAAGAATCGTCTTCCTGGATTAACCTTCAAAAGACGCTGGATTCAGATTTGGACACCTCTAAAAGAAGAAATGTTTAATGTTCCGTGACCTGCCAACTGCTATAAATTCCATGCACATGCCAAGCGCATGTTTGTCGTAAAACCAACTGAACTCCGCTAACAGTTTTCATAGGCAGCCCCAAAATAAACAATCCCCAAAAATATAAAGTGAAATTGGTTGTCTTCGTAAACAGTTAGAAGTTAGAGTCAAGTTCCATTACCTTTAAAAAGTGGTTGATTTTATTTGTTTGCGTCGACTTTGTTCATTCAGTATTCCTTATTACTGTCATGTTCGAATACCGCGAATCGGTCACGCCACAACACTGCAGACCATGCAGACTACAGACACTTGTTTGCACCTTTAACTTTGACCATGATTAAGTGTCAAAAGGTTCAATTTAAAAGTGCTGTTCATATAAATTTCATATAGTAATACAGCTGAACAATATCTCTGCCCTCTATTTCTTCACATTGCTGTCATACTTAGTTATACTTGCTTTCATACATGAAGCCTCCTGAATTTTCATGTTTACAGTTCCTTTCCCGACACACAAACCCATTTAGTCCATTAAGTCTAGGTAAACGCTGATATTTAGAAAAAATGAAGCTGGCCGATCGTCCCCACTTTCCATTGACAGAGTTGTGTGGCCCGTGCAACAGAGATTCGCACATCGTAGAGAGTTTCAGAAGTCGAGAAATATAATAGAATAAGTTGTGTACTCGGCAAGCTTCGCGTGCAACCAACAACAGTGTAGAAATCGCGTACATTAGCGATATAAATTTACGATATACCTTCGATTGGTCCGCTGTGAAAATTGATCGACGAATATTCTTCCCTCGCACTCATGTTACAGCTTGCGATTTCCTCGGCTTCGTTGAATCTTTTTCTCGGAAACTCTCCATGCACGAGGATCTTCCCGGGCCACGCAACTACCGCGATCGATGAGGAAAACCGCTTTGTATAAAAATGCGACATAGTCGCCAGGCTACACCTCCTCGCTGATTGGCCAGAAAAATATTTTTCTGGACAATCAGAGGGACGGAATTCGAACACTTCTGGAACTGGTTTGGTCAGAATAAGTGCCCAGGGGCTTGTCTGCTCTTGAGGTAAATTTCTTTGCTGAAATTCGCAAAAGCGATGGCTCGGACTTAGAGCTGGACAGCTTAATTAAGGGTTGTGTTAGCTGCCCTCGACAGACACCTCAAACAAAATGTCAGCAAAATTTCCAAAGCGAAGGACCGAGAATTCGTCAAATGCAGACAGGTCCTGGAGGGAAAACCAAGAGCTCTTCACGAAAAAGGCCACCGAAAACGACCAAACGCAACAAAAGCACTTACCGTTCAAGATGAAGAGCAGCTATGGAAAAATAGTGTACTTGGCGAACAAAATCCAAAGTGACTCCTTCATACTCTGCTCACCCTTCATTTTGCTCTTCGAGGTTGCCAAGAGCACCATGAAATGTTTGTCGAAGATTCACCTTGAACAAGGACGATCCAGGCACAGGGTACAAAACATTCGAAGAAAACCTAACAAAGACTCGCAAGGCGGACTAGAAAAGAAACGAAGAGTTATCCAGCCAAAAAATTTTGCCAGTGGAGGTCCCCGTTGTCCAGTCCAGTTCTTCAAAACATATCTTGCCCGCAGACCTGAAGAAATGCGAAACAATAACCTATTGCATTATTGAAAAACCAAAATCCGAAGTGTGATACAAGAAAAAGAGAATGGGTGTTAACAACATCGACTTCTTCGTGAAACATATGGCTTTGGAAGCAGAATTGGATATAGGGGGTAGAAAGTTAACCAACTATTCCGTAAAATACAAAACGCTTGTGAAGAAGCTGAAGGCTTCGAATCAGCCAAGAACAGTAGTGTAGGTGGCTCATCTGGGGCGTAACCAATCAGGAGCCAGGATTTGTACCACGTGACCAAAAAGAACAATGGGGTTCTATTGTTCTCCAAATCCAAGATGGCCGTCTTAAATTTCAGCCAATCAGAAGCCGAATTAAGAATTCAAGATGGCGGCGCCCACGAAAAGCGGCCATGTTGGAAAACAGCCCACCAGACTAGACAGAGTACTAAGATCGGTCTCTCGGATTTCCATGGCGACACAATCGTTAGGAAATCGATAAAATACTTACAGTGTCCTGTGGCTCTAAACGACAGAAGTATGTCTGGCAAGCGGCCATGATGAAGACTGAGAGACTTGTGTCCGAGGTCTGACTAGAGGGAGGCTATCCCAAGGTATCATGGGACGATGACACCATCGGTATCCAATCAGAGGAAAGAAATCAGTATGAATTAAAGTACTCACAGCTAGGATTCCCCAGTCCCCCTCTCTTAAGGAGAGCATTAAATCCTGAGATCTCTGCGTGATGTCATAACGTTCGGGATTATCGCTTACATAAAACAAAATAAATAAAATTAATAATAGCTTTCAGGTGACAATAAATTACGCATCTAGCGTTGGCGTTTTCAACAAAGGAGCAGTTAAACGCTGGAAGAAGCTTATCCGTACCTTA